TTCCTGCTGTTGAAGATGGTGATTCTAAATCTCATTTTCAGCAATCATTAGATGTCGGGCATGTGACGTCAGATTTTAACTCCATAGCAGCTACAGTAGGAAAGCCACCGAATATAAATGATATTTCCTTAAATGGAAATCAAGTTACTGTAAACCTTTCACCAGTACCTACTCTTCAGTCAAAGATGACTCTTGATCAACAGCACATTGAAACACCTGGTCAAAATAAAGCTTCTAAAGTAACTTCACCAGTGGTTGGGCCAGGTCATGAAGTCCAGGAGCAAAGTTCTGGCCCATTCAAGAAACAGTCTGCTACCAACCATGAACCTGAAGAAGATAGCGAAGTACCTGTTGATAGTACGTTAAATAATAACAGAAATCAAGAGTTTGTTTCTAGTAGTAGAAGTATAAGTGGAGAGAGTGCTGCATCGGAGAGTGAATTCACTTTAGGGGGTGATGACAGTGGTGTGTCAATGAACCCGACTAGGAGTACACTTGCACTGTTGGCCATGGCCCAACCTGGGGAGCCAATCAGCGTCAAGATTGAAGAGGAAAACCAAGATTTAATGCATTTTAACCCGCAGAAGAAGAAAACTAAAGGAAAAGGGCAAACTAAAGAGGAAGACAACAGTAATCAAAAACAGCTGAAAAGACCTGCCCAAGGCAAACGCCAGAATCCAAGGGGAACAGATATATATTTGCCATATACTCCCCTTTCCTCGGAAAGCTGCCATGATGGTTATCAGCATCAAGAAAAAATGAGACAGAAGATCAAAGAAGTAGAGGAAAAACAGCCAGAAGTCAAAACCGGATTCATTGCCTCTTTCTTAGATTTTCTGAAATCTGGGCCCAAGCAGCAGTTTTCCACTCTTGCTGTACGAATGCCTAACAGGACTAGACGACCAGGAACCCAGACTGTTCGTACATTTTGTCCCCCACCACTTCCAAAGACTGCATCTGCAACACCCACACCTTTAGTGTCTGAAACTGGGGGTAACAGTCCGTCAGAAAAAGCTGATAACGACCTTAAAAACTCGGAACATTTATCTTCACTTTCTTCTGATGAAGATGATCCTGGAGTATGCAGTCGTGATATTTATAAAAGCACCTCTACTACCTTAAATACTTCGGATGCCACTTCTGATAAAAAGAAGAAAACAGGTAAAGTTTTAAAATTTAGATTCATAATTATGGCTTTCCACTTTAATTTTTCTGGCTCTATACCAAGTTTTATGCTTTCTTAGCTTGAAGCAGGTCTGCATTTTCAGGACAAAATGCATAGGTAGATATCTCCTTATTAAATAAGGAGACTTATTTTTTTAAATGTTCCTTGCCTATAGGGAAGTTCTGGGTTTTAGGCTGAGTAGTTTTGATTTTTCTCAGCTTTTTACCACATGCAACATAATTTACATAGTGCACTATCCAGACTTTTCTAACCTGAGACATCTTGAAGTGGCTCATGGATATGAGGCATTGTATCGAGGGCCATGTTGTTATATAAACTGGCATGTTTTCTTGGTATGCTAATTTTACCTAAAGATTAACATTTTACTATTAAATATGGTTATTTTGTGTGCAGCATGCAGGTTAATATAATTAAGTTAAAACTTTAAAAATTTTGTGCTGGTTCCAAAGTATATGCCCAAATCCTGTGTGTGTTTCACTTTATTCTGTAGTTAAGGGAACATTTCGAGGAACTGTTTTGAGAAGCACTGCCTTATGTAAATGATTGACAAGTAGTATAAAAGTTACTATTTTAAAGAGCATGCTGAGCTTCCCTGGTGGTGCAGTGGTTAGGAATCCGCCTGCCAATGCAGGAGACACGAGTTCGAGCCCTGGTCCGGGAGGACCCCACATGCCGCAGAGTAACTGGGCCCGTGTGCTACAACTGCTGAGCCTGCGCTCTAGAGCCCACGAGCCACAACTACTGAGCCTGCGAGCAACAACTACTGAAGCCCGCGCACCTAGAGCCCATGCTTCACAACAAGAGAAGCCACCACAGTGAAAAGCCTGCACACACTGCAACGCAGAGTAGCCCCCAGTCGCCACAACTAGAGAAAGCCCGTGCACAGCAACAAAGACCCAACAGCCAAAAATAAATAAAAATAAAATAAATAAATTTGAGAAAAAAAAAAAGCTTTAAAAAAAAATCATGCTAAGGAAAAACATACTTATAACAATAAAATAGCTACCACCTCTGTGCCAGGAACTATTAGCAATGCTGTAAGATGTGCTTTGTTATCTCCAATATACAGATGATATAACAGACTAAATGAATTTTCCAGGTCCATACAGTCAGTAAATGGAAGAGCTGAAATCCAAACTCAGGTTTATCTGGTTCTAGAACCTGTATTCCTGCCTACCTCCTTTTTTTTTTTTTTTAAATAATTTTTTGGCTGCATTGGGTCTTTGTTGCTGCACGCGAGCTTTTCTCTAGTTGCGGTGAGCGGGGGCTACCCTTCGTTGCGGTGCACGGGCTTCTCATTGCAGTGGCTTGTCTTTGTTGCGGAGCACACCTGTGCCGGCTTCAGTAGTTGTGGCACGTGGCCTCAGTAGTTGTGGCTTGCAGGCTCTAGAGCGCAGGCTCAGTAGTTCTGGCGCACGGGCTTAGTCGCTCCATGGCATGTGGGATCTTCCCAGACCAGGACTTGAACCCGTGTTCCCTGCATTGGCAGGCGGATTCTTAACCACTGCACCACCAGGGAAGCCCCTGCCTACCTCTTTTGTATGAATAGAGTGGTGCTTTATGAGTAAAACCTTGTTTTGTGATGTACTTTTCAGCTTCTCTCCAGATTTGAGACTACCTTTTTAACTACTAGAGTAATATGAAACAGCTGGTATACCAAATACTCTATCAGCATAAATTTCTGCTAAAACATTTGTAAAGAATTCTCATTTTGTTATACAAGGAAATTAGCATAATGGAAAATCATTGTTAGAGTCAAAACATTAGAGATGTGGCTAATCCTAGTAAGGTTTTACACTCTATTCCCCCAATTCAGAGTTCTTTGCAATTACTGTTATATCCCCTCCTATGTTCCTAGAGCAAACATTTTATAATCTCTGTTATAAAACATGAATCTAGAACTAGTTTCTTCCAGACAACAGTTATTATCTCATTTTTAGTTAAAAATCACCACCATCAACCTGATCCTTACTAATAGGTCTTTGAAGTTCTCCCTTTACCATCCCCATTGCCTCCTCATCTGTGAGAACTCATCATCTCTTGCTTGGACTATTGCAACAGACTTCTCATTAGAATCCTTCCCATCAGTCTCTACACCAGTCTGTCCTCCGCACTGTCATCACACTTTATAAAAAAGGAAAACCAATTGTTACTTCTCTGCTTTGAAATGCTTCTTGTTGCTCCATGGGAAAAAATTAAAATAATGTGTAAAAATTCTCCCTTTCCATGTTTCACTCTTGCTCCACCCTTTCTACTTCCCCTCTTCTGTGACAACTGAATTTCTCATTGTTCCTTGGACCTGTGAGCCCCTGTCACAATTGTGCTCCTTTTGGGCAGGTTTTTTTCTACCTAGGCCTTCCTCTTGATTTTTTAGCCCAGCAGACACTTAGTTATCTTTGAAGACCATCTTCAAAGTCATTTTGTGGAAGTTACTCCTGGCAGAATTAGTGCTCATATCCTCTGAATTCCCACAGTCCTTAAATATTTCTGAAGGGGAGAAGTTTTAAATTGCAGCAAGGTCTAGTTTATCCAATTTCCCTTTTATGATTTGCGCTTTTTGTATCCTAAGAAATCTTCGCCTAGCCCATAGTCACAAAAATTTTCTCCTGTTTTCTTCTAGGAATTTTAGAATTTTGCATTTTACATTTAAGTCTAGGGTCCCTTTTAAATTTTTTTTTTTTTTTTTTGGTATAAGATATGTGGTATGGGTTGAAGTTAATTTTTTTGCACATAGAAGTCCAGCTTTTCCAACACATTTGTTGAAAAGACAGTGCTTTCTACATTGAGTGCTTTTTGCACCTTTGTCAAAAATTAATTGTGTAAATTCATATTTGTGTGAATCTATTTCTGGACTCTCAATTCTGTCACATTGATCTATGTGTTTATGCTTTCACCAGTACCACACTGTCTTAATTGCTATAGCTTTACAGTAAATCTTGAATGAAATAAGGCAGTGTGAGTCTTCCAAATTTGTTCTTTTTCAAAATTGTTTTGCCTATTCTAGTTCCTTTCCATTTCCATTTAAATGTTCAAGTCAGCTGTTGGTATCTACAAAAAAATCCTTCTGGGATTTTGATTTCCTTGAATCTGTGGCAATTTGAGGAACACTAAACTGTTAACAATATATTGAGCCTTAATTCATGCACACATTTGATTTCTCTCACTAGTCTTGTGTAGTTTTTGGCATATAGATCCTGCTTTGTTAGATTTATTCCTGAGTTTTTGGGGGTGCTATTTATTGTAAGTGACACTTTCTAAAATTTTGCAGATTCCAGTTATGCATTAGTAGATTATAAAAATAGTTATTTTTTATACGTTGATCTTAAATCCGCACAGCTGATTTATTTTAAGACTTTTTTAATGGGAATTCCCTGGCGGTCTAGTGGTTGGGACTCCACAATTCCACTGCAGGGGGCACAGGTCCAATCCCTGGTTGGGAAACTAGGATCCCGTAAGCCATGTGGCATGGCCAAAAAAAAATGGTTTTTAAAAATTAGATTCCGTAGGATTTTCTATGTAGAAAATGATGTCATCTGCAAATAAGGATAGTTTTCTTCTTTTCCAATCTAATGCCTTTTTCATTCCTGTCTTAATATATAGGACTTCCTATACAATGTTTAATAAGAGTGCTGAGCGTGGACATCCTGAACATGTTCTTGATCTTTGGGAGAAAGAAATCAGTCTTTCACCATTAACTATGATGTTCACTGTAGGTTTTTGTAGATGCCTTTTTTTTTATTGCATTAAAGAAGTTCCTTATATTTTATAGTTTGCCAACAGTTTTTATAATGAATGGAGGTTGAATTTTGTCAGATGGTTTTTCTTCATCTATTTAAATGATCATGTAGTTTTCTTCTGTAGTCTGTCAGTATGGTGAATTACATTGATTGATTGTTAAATATATCTGTGGCCTTGCATTCTCAGGATAAACTCCACTGACTGATATATTATCTCATTTATACATTGATGGATTCAGTTTTATAATTTTTTTGTATCTGTGTTCACAATGAATATTAGTCTGTAGTATTTTTTTTGTAATGCCTTTGTCTGGTTTTGGTATCTGGTTATTGCTGACCTCATAAGTGAGTTGGGGAGTATTCCCTTCTTCTCTATTTTCTGCAAGAGATTGGGTAGTATTGTTTCTTCCCCAAATGTTTGGTTGAATTTGCTAGTGAAACCATCTGGACCTGGAGTTTTCTATGAATTAAATTTCTCTGACAGAACTATTCAACTAGTCTGTTTCTTCTTGACTGTGTTTTGTATCTTTGAAGGAATTGGTCCATTTCATTAAGTTGTCAAATTTATGAATATAGAGTTGTTAGTAGCATTTGCTCATTATCTTTTTAATTTCTGTAGGTCTTGTAGTGATTCCCACTCTTACAGTCTTTTTTTTTAAATAAAATATGGCCTTTTTTAAAAAAAAAATTATTTATTTATTTTTGGCTGCACTGGGTCTTTGTTGGTGCTCGTGGGCTTTCTCTAGTTGCAGCGAGTGGGGAGCTACTCTTCACTGCGGTGTGTGGGCTTCTCATTGCAGTGGCTTCTTGTGTTGCGGAGCACGGGCTCTAGGTATGCGGGCTTCGGTAGTTGTGGCACGCAGGCTCAGTAGTTGTAGCACATGGGTCCCACTCTTACAGTCTTGATGTTGGTCATTTGTGTCTTCTCTCTTCATCTTCGTTAGTCTGGATAGAAGTTTATTAATTTTATTGATCTCTTCAAAAGACCAGCTTTTAGTTTCATCGATTTTTCTCCTTTGTTGACAATTTCACTGATTTCTGCTATTTTCATTAATTCCTTTTTCTGTTTGATTTTGGTTTATTATGTGCTAGTATTTTTTTTCTAGTTTCATATGGTAGAAGCCTAAATTGCTGATTTCAGACCTCTATTCTTTTCTGCTTTAAGCATTTAATGTTACAAACTTCTCTCTAAGCCCTGCTTTAGCTATATCCCACAGATTTTATTTTTATTATTTGTT